CATATGAGATAGGGACTTTAGATTGTCAGCTCCTTGAGGGCAGTGACTGATAAATAGTTTGTAAAGCACTGATGCCGCTATAAAAATGCCTATAATAGATAAACTACAGCTTTCCAGTTAGCAAAGCTCATGCTGCGCATTGATTTCAGAGCTGTAGGGCTGCCGAACCATGGTTGTGTTGGACCTGGCAGAGAGACCACTGTTTCTACACAGGTAGCAATGGTTCCACTCTGCAGACCAGGGACCTGGCAGAGAGACCACTGTTTCTACACAGGTAGCAATGGTTCCACTCTGCAGACCAGGGACCTGGCAGAGAGACCACTGTTTCTACACAGGTAGCAATGGGTTCCACTCTGCAGACCAGGGACCTGGCAGAGAGACCACTGTTTCTACACAGGTAGCAATGGTTCCACTCTGCAGACCAGGGACCTGGCAGAGAGACCACTGTTTCTACACAGGTAGCAATGGTTCCACTCTGCAGACCAGGGACCTGGCAGAGAGACCACTGTTTCTACACAGGTAGCAAGGGTTCCACTCTGCAGACCGCAGAATTGTCTGCTCTGGCTGCTGGTGTGTTACAGAGACAAAAACAGTAAGTTGTTGAACGTGTACCATTTTCCTGAACACCTTTTACAGTGTTTTTCCTGAAGCCTTGGACACATGGACTTTTGATTGTCTGAGCAGTGTTGACTGTAAGCTTTTGCAAAGCTTTTAACAAGTAGCTTTGTGGAAGTCTTTGAAGCAAGATTGAGTTTTTCTTTGAGAAAGTTAACAGACCCTGTCACCACACCATTTGTTTCCATTAAAATCTTTCCACAGGATTATATGTGCATTTAACGTGTTTTCTGCATGCAAGTGGTTGTAAAGACTCAAGGTGTTTTGTCTTCATGTATTCTATGCATGAAGGTAAAAACCTTCTCTGTGCATCAGCTCCCCCAGCCCCCCTTAAGGCCCCATGTACACGGGACACTTCTGAACGATGGAAACTGACTGCTGGAAAACGTAGGTTAAAAAATGTCTGTTAAGCCTCGTTTGCATTACGCATTTATGTGCGTTTAGTTTAGAAGTTTTTTAAAGATAAGCACAGGAGAACCTCACAAATGTCCATAATGCACTGAAAAGTTGGAAATGATTAACTATTTCAGACTGTTTCAGAGAAATACAGAGAGTAGAAGCAGAGACAGCAGTATGTGTTGAGATTAGCTTAGGTGTGAGTTGCTCATTAACATTTCTTTTGTTTCCAAGGGTGGGAAAGGTGTCTGGTGGAGGGAGTCATTAAGGCCACCTGGCAGGGGGTCTTCATGAGGAATTTGAGGTGTGAATGGTCATTAACATTTCTTTTGCTTCCAAGGGTGGGAAAGGTGTCTGGTGGAGGGAGTCATTAAGGCCACCTGATAGGTGGAGTCTTCATGAGGAATTTGAGGTGTGAATGGTCATTAACATATCTTTTGTTTCCAAGGGTGGGAGAGGTCTGAGGTGTGAATTGGTCATTACAATGTGTGACAAGCTTGGTAGGAACATCCTGTGTTCAGTGTTTTGTCCATCTGAGCACCTTGAAAACTCTTTGCATGCATTTGTCACGATGAAAAAAGGCTCTGGACAGCATTGAGAACTGGAAGAGTTAAAAAAAAATTGGAAACACTTATAAACGCGATTTGACGCGTTTACAAGTGTTTTGCGTTTGAAACGCTGATAAAATCGGCTGCTGAACGCAAGTTTTCTGCATTCAAAAAAACGACTGTAAACTCAACTGCCTGTAAATGACTGTAAACGACATGGACACATAGAAAAACATTAGGGGGAGTTCAGGGGCTGCTGGAAAAAACACTGAACAGCTCCTAAACATGAGTTTATCTCAGCTGCAGTGTACATGAGCCCTAATACTCAACTAAACCCCCTCTTGATTCAGTGATGTGCACTGGAGTCTCGGCTATCCCGGGACTCCCTCTCCTCATTGGCTGAGACAGCTGCAGGAGCCACTGGCTCCCGCTGCTGTCAATCACAGCCAGTGAACCGATGAACGTGAATGGACACACGGAGCAGCAGGTGCCCCCATAGCAAGCTGCTTGCTGTGGGGGCACCCAACGGGAAGGAGGGGCCAGGAGCGCCAGCGGGGAACCCTAGAAGAGGAGGATCTGGGCTGCTCTATGCAAAACCACTGCACACAGCAGGTAAGAATGATGTGTTTGTTTGTAAAATGTAAGCATTTAATATCACTTTAACTGTAAAAGCCTCCCTTGTGTAAACATCCAAAAACCCCAAGATTGTTGCTGGGCATTGCCACCTTGGATGTGATCCTAGTCTCAGAGGACTTTCCTGGAGTTTCATAGGCACATTGCTAGTGAATAAAAAAAGCATATTGTAGCCCAGTGAGTGAAGTCTGCATATAGTGTTACCAGTCCTGTTAGCTTTATCCGGCTCCCCATTCATTGTCTTTGTTCTGTTTTGCAGAGAGGCTGGTCTATGAAGTCAGACAGAAGTGCAGACACATTGAAGGTGAGTCTTTCCTTCTTGTAACTCCATGTTTCTCAGTCCCATCTCTGATTACGAGCTGTATTCATAATTTTTCCTGATTCCGGTTTAAATCATTGCCACGTACAGCGCTCAGCATAAATGAGTACACCCCAACAAATTTGTCAGAAAACCTTTCCTTTCTTTTCAGGATCAACATTTCTTATGGAACACTATACTACAAAATACTGCACACACAAAAAGTAATAATTTGCACACACAATGTATTTTTCCTAACAAATTAATTCAAGACCATGTTGCAAAAATGAATACACCCCAATGAAAGTCTTAGGAGCAAACCTATATTTTGGACAACAAAATCCTAAATAACAAGATTTCAACTACAGATGAGTCTAATTATTCATTAACCACTTTCCTTGCGCGGCCTATAGTAAAGTGACGGCCGGGCGAACCCCTTGTCCTTGTCAAATGACGTCCTTCCCGGATCGCACTTTGCGCATGCCCACAGGACCACGCCGTAGCGAGATCTGTCACCAGCTGTGTACCTTGGACACGGCCGATGACAGATCTGTGTACCGGCCCCGTTGCCAGTACCATGTGACCTGCTGTGACCAATCACAGCAGGTCACATGGCAGATGTATACAATGGATGGCTTCCTTTCATGCCATCCATTGTATACAAGTGTGTCTAGCTGTGAATCGTCACAGTGATCACATGTATAGGCTGCGCCAGTCACAGCCCATCTGTGTCATGTGATTAGCCGTGGCCAAATTGTGTAAAAAAAAAAAAAAAAAGTACTGATCACTTCCCCAAAGTAGTACAATGTTACTATGGTAACATTATACCACTTTGGTCATAGTGGAATATGATAAAAAGATCTTATAAAAAAAGAGAAAAAAATTTAATAAAAGATAAAAAATTTATCAATTTTTTTTGTTCGTACTGTCACCAGACAGTGTCTTTGATTACCGCCACACCAGTTTTTATGATGATGCTGTACTGCACTGGTGACAGTATGTAAAAAAGAAAATAATTGTTTTAATTTCTTCATTTTCTGAAAAATTATGACAAAATAATTACAACTTCAAAAAACTCGCCATACCTGTTACAAAATACGTCGGACTGTCTACTTTGCAAATTTGGGGGATATCTGTACTGTGCTGACATTTGGGGGATATTTGTCCTGTCCTGACATTCGGGGGATATCTGTACTGTCCTGACATTTGGGGGGATATCTGTACCATCCTGACATTTGGGGGATATTTGTCCTGTCCTGACATTTGGGGGATATCTGTACTGTCTTGACATTTGGAGGATATCTGTACTGTCTTGACATTTGGGGGATATTTGTCCTGTCCTGACATTTGGGGGATATTTATCCTGTCCTGACATTTGGGGGATATCTGTTCTATTCTGACATTTGGGGGATATCTGTACTGTCCTGACATTTGGGGGATATTTGTCCTGTCCTGACATTTGGGGGGTATTTGTCCTGTCCTGACATTTGGGGGGTATTTGTCCTTTCCTGACATTTGGGGGGTATCTGTACTGTGCTGACATTTGGGGGATATCTGTACTGTGCTGACATTTGGGGGATATCTGTACTGTCCTGACATTTGGGGGATATCTGTACCGTCCTGACATTTGGGGGATATCTGTACTGTTCTGACATTTGGGGGATATCTGTACTGTCCTGACATTTGGGGGATATCTGTACCGTCCTGACATTTGGGGGGATATCTGTACTGTGCTGACATTTGGGGGATATCTGTACTGTCCTGACATTTGAGGGATATCTGTACCGTCCTAACATTTGGGGGATATCTGTACCGTCCTGACATTTGGGGGATAGCTGTACCGTCCTGACATTTGGGGGATATCTGTACTGTCCTGACATTTGGGGGATATCTGTACTGTTCTGACATTTGGGGGATATCTGTACCGTTCTGACATTTGGGGGATATCTGTACTGTCCTGACATTTGGGGGATATGTGTACTGTTCTGACATTTGGAGGATATCTGTACTGTTCTGACATTTGGGGGATATCTGTACTGTTCTGACATTTGGGGATATCTGTACTGTGCTGACATTTGGGGGATATCTGTACTGTTCTGACATTTGGAGGATATCTGTACTGTTCTGACATTTGGGGGATATCTGTACTGTCCTGACATTTGGGGGATATCTGTACTGTCCTGACATTTGGGGGATATCTGTACTGTTCTGACATTTGGGGGATATCTGTACTGTTCTGACATTTGGGGGATATCTGTACCGTCCTGACATTTGGGGGATATGTGTACTGTTCTGACATTTGGAGGATATCTGTACTGTTCTGACATTTGGGGGATATCTGTACTGTTCTGACATTTGGGGGATATCTGTACTGTTCTGACATTTGGGGATATCTGTACTGTGCTGACATTTGGGGGATATCTGTACTGTCCTGACATTTGGGGGATATCTGTACTGTTCTGACATTTGGAGGATATCTGTACTGTTCTGACATTTGGGGGATATCTGTACTGTCCTGACATTTGGGGGATATCTGTACTGTCCTGACATTTGGGGGATATCTGTACTGTTCTGACATTTGGGGGATATCTGTACTGTCCTGACATTTGGGGGATATCTGTACTGTTCTGACATTTGGGGGATATCTGTACCGTCCTGACATTTGGGGGATATGTCTACTGTTCTGACATTTGGAGGATATCTGTACTGTTCTGACATTTGGGGGATATCTGTACTGTTCTGACATTTGGGGGGGATATCTGTACTGTTCTGACATTTGGGGATATCTGTACTGTGCTGACATTTGGGGGATATCTGTACTGTCCTGACATTTGGGGGATATCTGTACTGTTCTGACATTTGGAGGATATCTGTACTGTTCTGACATTTGGGGGATATCTGTACTGTCCTGACATTTGGGGGATATCTGTACTGTCCTGACATTTGGGGGATATCTGTACTGTTCTGACATTTGGAGGATATCTGTACCGTCCTGACATTTGGGGGATATCTGTACTGTTCTGACATTTGGGGATATCTGTACTGTGCTGACATTTGGGGGATATCTGTACTGTCCTGACATTTGGGGGATATCTGTACTGTTCTGACATTTGGAGGATATCTGTACTGTTCTGACATTTGGGGGATATCTATACTGTTCTGACATTCTTGGACCTCAAGAAATTACATTGGCTGTTGGTACTTCAGGATTGATCAATTTTCAGATATATCCCATAGTTTGTGAACTCTATAACTTTCCTACAGATAAATAATAAATACTGATTTGGGTTATTTTCACCAAAGACATGTAGCAGAATACATCTTGGCCTTAATTTATGAAGAACAATTATTTATTTGCAAACGTTTATAACAGAAACAAAGAAACTTGTATTTTTTCAAAATTTTCAGTCTTTTTTTGTTAATTTAGCAAAACCCTTTGATCACCATAGATGTTTATCCCCTTCCCAGCCAGTGTCATTAATACAGTGACAGTGGATATTTTTAGCACTGATAACTGTATTAATGTCACTGGTTCCCACAAAGTTTAAGTTAGTGTCAGACTGTCCTCTGTAATATCGCAGTCCCGCTATAAGTTGCTGATTGTTTTACAAGATAAAAAGAAAATCAAACAAACATTTAATCAGTGTTTATAAAAGAGGGAGGAGAGATGGGTTTATGACAAAAGAGACCAGTAGGGTCTTCTTTATGATAAAAATCCTATGTGTACTTAAGGCCTTGCCTTGATGTTGTGCCTGTATGTTGTTTGCCACGCTGTAGTTGCAACATCTTTGATTCTAGACATGAGGGGTACCGTACCTCTGCACTGTGCCTCCAGTGCACTGTCCACTAACATGCTGGAGACTGCTTGCAGCATGTCACCTAATATTGGTTGTGCCTGAAGCTTGGAATCATGCTGCCCTCTGATTTTAGAGTCTCTTTTTTCAGAGTCTCTTTTTTTCAGAGTCCTCTTTGGCTGTATCGGGTGTGGCTGTTGTTAGTTGAGGTTTTTGCCACTGTCACGCAGGACTTTATGACCCAAATTACATAGTTGTGTTTGGACTCTAATCGCAAAGGCCGCATGTGAGCTACTGCTCCTTCTCCAACAGATTATACAGTGAAGGAAATAAGTATTTGATCCCCTGCTGATTTTGAATGTTTGCCCACTCACAAAGAAACATTCTGCTTTGAGGGGTGTTTTTCTGCTAAGGGGACAGGACAACTGCACCACATCAAAGGGACGATGGACGGGGCAATGTACCGTCAAATCTTGGGTGAGAACCTCCTTCCCTCAGCCAGGGTATTGAAAATGGGTCGTGGATGGGTGTTCCAGCATGACAATGACCCAAAACACACGGCCAAAGCAACAAAGGAGTGGCTCAAGAAGAAGCATATTAAGGTCCTGGAGTGGCCTAGACCTTAATCCGATTGAAAATCTGTGGAGGAGCTGAAAGTTCGAGTTGCCAAATGTCAGCCACCAAACCTTAATGACTTGGAGAGGATCTGCCAAGAGGAGTGGGCCAGAATCCCTCCTGAGATGTGTGCGAACCTGGTGGCCAACTACAGGAAACGTCTGACCTCTGTGATTGCCAACAAGGGATTTGCCACCAACTACTAAGTCATGTTTTGTGAAGGGGATCAAATACATATTTCCCTCATGAACATGCAGATCAGTCATCATTTGTTAGACATGCATTTCTTTTGAAATTGTTTGTTGCTATTCTGTCTCTCAGTGTTACAATACACCGAACATTCGATTTTTAGACCGATCATTTCTTTGTGAGTGGGCAAACATTCAAAATCAGCAGGAGAGCAAATACGCATTTCCTTCACTGTATAACCCACCTACCAGCAGCCTTAGTAGTTTCTGAGAGCTCTGGTGTGAAGGCACACTGGAGTCGAGGATGTATTTTCTTCTTGTGCTTAAAAATCCTCATGAGGCTGCCAGCCTGTCTGGCTGTGAAGAAGGTACTTTATCAGTGCAGCGGACTTGATCATTGGTACCATCTTGTCTCCTGAACAACATTTTGGAGCTTGGAGTGGGGTGGCACACCTTCAGCACTGGACTAACCTGTTGGAAGCCCATCTGATTTGTTTCCAGTTAGGCAGTGCCACTGCAGTGGTATACATCAGTTAACATGGAGGAACAAGATGTCTCGCTGTGGCAAGAGATGTAGAGCGGATCCTGTCTTGGTCAGAACTTCAGGACCAAGCCTTGTTAGCTTTTTACATTACTGGCATAGACAATCTCCCAACAGATTTCCACTACTGGAATCCTCTGGAGTGGTCCCATCATCCAGAAATGTTCCAGGACCTGTGTCCAGGTGGAGGACTCCAGATGTAGACCTCCTGGGTTCAGCAACAAACTGGACTGAAAATATAGAACATTGCTGTGATCCTCATTGATCCGGATATGCCCAGGCAGATACAATAAGCCAACATAGTAAAATGTTTCACAACTTTGCACTGTGTGACCCATTACCACTCCGCTTCTTGGTTGTTGGCTTTAATGGCATGGCTGTTGAAGCCCAGGTTCTAACGGATAGGGGCATCTCTGAGCCTGTGATTCCTACAATGCTCAAGGCTAGGAAGTCCATTTCCCACAAAGTCTACCATCAGCCATGAAAGGCATACTTGCTTGGACATTGTCTAAGGGCCTTCACCCCTAGGTTTATTCAGTGGGACAGATCCTCTCTTATTTGCACTTGGGTCCTTGGCAACATTTAGCAGGTTTTTTCCCCTTCATTTCTATTTAAAAGACCTTTGGCTTCCCACTACCTGATTAGGACTTATGTGCAGGGGATCTCCTATGCGATCCTCATGGTCTGATCCCTTTTGTCGCCATAGGATATAATTATTGTTCTTTTGGGGCTTCAGGGGTTCCCATTTGAATTTTACTTTGATGCATTCCTTGCTCTACTTTGACCGACAAAGTTGTTTTTGTTGCGGCCATTGGCTCTGTTGGCCAAGTGTCTTAACTGGCACTCACTACTTCCTGAAAAGCAATGTACCAAAACCGAGCTCATAACATTCCCTCCTCCACATGTCCCTTCCCCTGACTTCTCTGTCAAGATCAACGGCTCAACTATCAACCCGTCCCCGCATGCCATGGTACTAGTTGTAATCCTGGACTCTGAATTATCCTTTCAGCCCCACATCATTCAATTTTCAAAGCCTGCCGCCTCAACCTCCTAAACATCTCCAAGATACGCCCCTTCCTAACCAACGACACCAAACTCCTAATTTACTCTCTGGTCATCTCTTGCCTCGACTGCTGCAACCTCCTCCTCATTGGCTTACTTTTACATAGGTTATCCCCTCTTCAGACCATCATGAATGCTGCTACCAGGCTCACCCAGCTTACCAACCGTTCAGTGTCTGTCCCCCCTCTCTGCCAATCACTGCACTGCCTTCCGCTCACCCAGCAAATTAAAGTGATACTAAAGTTTTTTTTTTTTTTTCTTGTAAAATAACAAACATGTCTATACTTACCTGCTGTGTGCAGTGGCTTTGCACAGAGCAGCCTGGATCCTCCTCTTTTCGGGTCCCCCACTGGCGCTCCTTTCTGTCGTGTGCCCCCATAGCAAGTAGCTTGCTATGGGGGGGCACCCACTGCTCCGTGTGTCCATTCACACATGGAGCGGTGGCTTGGCCCCACCCCCCTCTCTCTCTCCTCACTGGGTGTGTGACTGACAGCATTGGGAGCCAATGACTCCCACTTGCTGTGTAAGCCAATGAGGCAGAGACCAGAGACAGCCGAGGCTGTCTTGCACTTTGCTAGATCGCGATGGGGCTCAGGTAAGTATTGAGGGGGCATGCATAGAAGGGTAGGTTGAACATTAAAGAACCTGTTGCTTTGCAGTACATGGACAAAGTATAACATTTCCAAAAATAAGCAGATTGTTAGTCCAGAGATGTTTCCAATTATATGGGTAGTCAGGAAGAGATGTTATACTTATTGCAGTAAATTGGAGAGCATGCTATAAAATGTTTTTTGTAACTTCCTCCGGCCCACCTACCCAGTGTGTTCTAATGGATATTGAGCTTATGTAACTTAATGTATGTGCTTTACTGACAGATCACCTTTGTAGCACCTCCTTTTATATATTTTATATATATATATATATATATATATATATATATATATATTGAATCTTTGTGTATTTTTTTTTGCAGATATCTGCATATCCTGTGGCAGTCTGAATGTCACCCTAGAACACCCGCTATTTATTGGAGGAATGTGCCAAAACTGCAAGGTAACCAGACAGTGCTGAACTTCAATGCCTTGTAAAAATGAAACACTAATAAAGAGACCCTGTCACCTTGCCCTGTCTGTGAAGCCCACCAATGACCATTCTATACTCACCTCTCCAGCAGCCCCCTACACTCTTACTTCTGTGTCCACCACTGCAAAATATCTGGTGTTTCTGGGTATGGTGGAGTATAGGACCTCCTCCAATAATGTAGTGCTCAAGACTAGCTATCAATCAGTAGGCCCGAGAACTGTCATGTGATGAAGATGGTGATGTCACTGCTGCCTCTGTGCTGTGCCACTTGATGTTTTGGTGGTGGCCATGACAAAGGGAAGAGCAAGGGGGAGCACTGGAGAGAGGTATAAAGTGGTCAGAGGTGAGCTTTATAGAGACACTGTCACTTTTGTTATGATCATGAAATTTATTTTTATGTACACCAAGCATTAGTGCCTGAATCTGCCTGTCAGCCTTTTATACCCTGTACAGCACAACAAAGACAGTGAGGGAGGGGCAACACTAGGGGCCAATCAGCTGCATATGTGCTGACAGGAGGAGAGAGCAAAGTGAGCTGAATTCAAGGCTGGCCATACAGCAGTCATTTTTTTTTTTAACCAGTGGGTCAAACGAAAAAAAATGACATGATTTCCCTGTCCACACACTCAGTATGCATAGA